AAATTTTTTAATTCAATTTCTTAATAAGTTATTTTTATTCTATTAAATATTAAATACTTATCATTTTAGTTATTAGTTAATATAATTACATTAGTATATTTTTATTTATAGTTAAAAAATAATGTATACATATATTTACGTTTACATAAATATATCAGATAAAAATATAAAATATTATAATTGATTGTCTGTTGCCTAAAGTTGACTCTTGTGATGAAGAGTCGACTATTCCACGCCTCCTAGACTTCTCCACTCTTTCGAATTTGAGAGTCACGAATCTTGCCCTTCTAGAATTCATTCAATGTGCTCCTTAGATTTGGATTTCTACGCTAAAAACATTCAAACATGAAATCCAATTGAAATCCAAATCTAGAAAAACAGAAATAGACATTCAAACATTCAAACTCAATAGAAAAACAGAAATTCAACCTCTTCCATGAAACAATCTGATTCTCACCAGCATCAGATTATACTTTTTTTTTAAAAGTAAAAAAGTAATATTTATTAAATTGTTACTTTTAATAAAAGTTACATATTATACTTATATAAAATTTTAACAATTTATATTTTTATTTTCAATGGTTGAGATTTTTTCACTTTTGTCATATTTATTAAAGATAATTTTCTTTTTAATCTAAAAAGTCATAATAAATTTCAATTATTGAAAGTAAAGAAATGAATTATTAAAATTTTGTGTAAATATGATATATAAAATTTATGTATAAATGAACTCCTGCTCATCAATTAATTATATAATTTATTGACAGAAAAAAAAGTGCGTTAATTCATGTTGGCAAGGGAAAAAGAAAAGTTACTAGTATTTAATTGCTTTTCTTTTTGTTTTTTTGCCCAGAATTAACTGCTTTTTCCTTTATGTTCTTGACTTATTTTTTTTTATGTTAATGTTCTTGACTTATTATATGATAATTCGTTAGTTAAATGAATTTGAGATAGAGGTATGTTTTTGTGTGGGCTTCATCCCTCTCTAACATGTCCAAACTACACAAGATAATGTCCGAGTCGGACGGCTGTTTAGATACAATTTTTCTACGCTTCAGGTTGTAGCCTTTTTCTTTTTCCTTTTTTCTTTTCTTTTTTGCACATGGTATATATTTCTTCAACATATGATCAACTATTTAAATAATTCAATAATAATCTTCTTTAATTTAAGTAATATTCAAGATGTCTTTTTATAGTAACATGAATATTAGCTTTTGGCTTAACTAATCTCATAAGTACTTGTAAACTATTTTATTCACAAGTATCTAATAGACAATTAAGGCTCCAACTTCAAAAAGATATGTAGCACGCATGACATATTGAAATTGTTTGCATCCATATAATTAATATTAAAGAGATTCAAACTTATATTCTCAATACAATTCAAATAACTCTTTAACCTTAATCAATTGAACCAACCCTAATGAATTTTTCAAGAATTTTTAATGGCTACTTCTCACTAAATATCATAAAAAATTGACAATTTAAACAAAACTTCCATCATATTTTGTCTAAAAGAACTTTTTTATAAAAGTTATAATACTTTCCAACACGCTAATCAGAAAAAAAGTTCTGACAAAATTTTCTCAACAATTTTTCCATGAAAAACTTATTGGAAGAAAAACTTTCTTTCAAACCAAACCAACTCTAAGGGTTACTTGGTCACGCTAACGTGCCAACTGCCTAGCTACTTCCAAATAGGTCCACACCTTTGTGTGCATATGAGATTAGAACCAGCCCAAACCAGTTTGAAGCCGGGGCTCAAAATCAAATTTAGAATAGAAGAACCCATAAATTTGGAATCTATGACAGCCTAAGTTGTCCAGAAGATGCAAGAAGATAGATGGATGAAAGAAACATTTCCTAAATATTAAATTTGTGAACTCTTTTCACCTGGGAAGAGAGTGCACTGGAAGAGCTATATTACTTACTGGATGGGGTGCAGCTGAGGCAAGGGCTGGTGGACAGATGGAAATGGAAGCATTCAAGTGAAGGTTCATATTCTGTCGAGTTAGGATATGCAATACTGACATCAAGCCATGCAAGTGGAGGAAGGAGAATCTTCTTCCTAATCTGGAACCCATTGGTTCCAAAGATTAGTGCATTCAATTGGCATGCAATACAAGATAGAGTTCCAACCAGATCAAATCTGTTTAGGCATGGAATTTTGGATGATTCAATCATTCAAGCATGCTTATGTGTGCACTCTGCGGGAATGAAATATAAGATTCCCATCACATACTTCTACGGTATAAAATTTCGTCTAGCGTTTGGACTAGGTGCTGGAAAGGGTGGGGGTATAGTACACTATTTCATTACTCAACATTCAGAATGTCAAGAAAACAACAAACATGGGATGGAATGTTAAAAATATGGATGAAAATGATTAAAATATAACTCTAGGGACTAAAAAATATTTTTCTCAAAAGTTTAGATCGAGGGCTTGGGCCGTCAGTGATTCTATTTCTAGCATTCAAAACCATACTGGAAGTTGGAACTTGGCTACCAAGACACGGCATCTTCAGCCCCAACGACAAACCCACATATCGTCAGCAAAGCTTCCGACAGTCTGTAAACCACCAACTCGCTGGCATAAACCCTATCCCGCTGTCCATCTCGCGATAAACAACATTTATTATGTTGCTGATAAAAACAGATATTTATGGAATAGATATATTATTGAATATTGACAAATTGCCCAAAGATGATAAGTTGGAACAATTCAAAGGTGAGTTTAATATATAAAACATCGCGATTTTTTTTTTTTCATCTCTCACGTTATTAGGAACTAAAAGTCGCAAGAAAACTGTCGGTTTCTCTCTCAATCAAAACCAAATCCTAACTACCTCGTATGCTTACTAATTATTAACTACTCGAGTTCAGCATGAAAATCATCGGCAGCGCGAGGACGGCGCCACTGCCAGTTAAGAGTACATAAATTGATTAATCTAACTGTCCAACATCACCATAGCTAATAAAGTATCGGAAGTGTAACCCCATCAATCGTATAATCTCGCGACTTTTACCATTTTTGGATCTCTAGGACTCATCCCAATCATCTTTCGAAAGTAATAAGTTCTCGATCGATCAATCCGTTACCTAATGAAGTCCCAATTCACATCGTGCAAAAAAACATTAAATCTTATTACAATAATACGTACGTAATCTATTTGTTTAATTAATTAAGCGAGATGGTTAATTGATATCTTTGGCTATAAATATAGGTCGATCTAAGAGCCGATACCATTCTAGTTCTCAACCTCTCTCTTTCTCTTATATCAAAGCGCACTCTATTCAATCCAACACAATGGCGACCATCTTTGAGAATAAGAGAATTGAGAGCAATGACATTGCAAGTAGAATGAGGTTTCCTTATGGTGCCAACTTTGCAAATCTTCCATTTGGTTGCAACAACCCTGGCCAGTTCGGAAGCTTGTCAGTTACAGATGAGGGGGGTACTCAGTGGACGCTTACCATCAAAAATCAGAACGGAAAGGTATATTTCACTGATGGTTGGAATGCATTCAGAGTGGGGAAACGCATTACGGCTGGTAAAAAGATCTCCCTTTACAAAGATGAAGATGATCGGCACAGAATTATAGTGGGGGGAAACTGAGATTAGGGATAGTTAGATTTTATACATCCTTTAAGAGTATGTTTGGCTTGAAAGAAGTGAATGAGATGAGAGGGAATATTATTTTAGCTAATCAAATCAAAATATATAAGTTGTTAAGCCAAGGCCTTAATTAATTTGATTAGATGAAATATTTTTTCCTC